GTGATGTACACTGTGGTCACCCCCATGCTGAACCCCTTCATCTACAGCCTGAGGAACAGGGACATTAAAGGTGCCCTGAGGAGGCTGCCCAGCAGGATGGCCTAAATCTCAGACCCTGTGGTGTCCAGTTGCGATGTATGTTGGAAAATTCATTATAACTAATTATCAAGAACGTTTAATCTGCCTCTTCAGGAACTTTGATGGGTTTAATATCACACATGATGTAAGTGCAATGACTGCAGTGAGTGATGGAATGGAATGTGTGGGAGTTCTTCATATTTGGAACAAAGGATCACTTTGAAATAATGAAAGATTTTTGAGATGGTGATTATGAATATTTCTAAAAAACATCTATGTGATCGATGATGCTTATAATAATACTTGAGAATTGTTAAAAGAAAATTTTTTCACTTAATTTACTTCGACAATATTAATATAAAGCTAAATTTTTTTAGGAAAAAAAATTCATAGTAGAGAAGGGCCTCTTCCTTAGTAGGGATAAACTGATAAATATTGGTAGATGTTCGTTTTCTGCTCCTCTTCTCCATCATTAATATTAGGAAGCTTTTAAGAGTTGCTGATATGCTTCAGCTACTTGGTACACTAGGAGCCTTATGCACTGAGCCACCAACGTCACCCAGTAGTCAACAACCAGCCAGTGCCTCCAGCCCCTCAGCTTGAGGACCCCAGTGCAGTGGGTGCCATTATGCATCTCTTCCTGCTGTGGATGTCAGCATCAGGAAGCACCTAACTGAGTGTGTGTTGACATCTGGAGGCTGAAGTCAGGGCCACTGGGCACCAGGGAGTCGGGGGCTTTGGAGCTTCCCTCCTTAGTTCTAAGTCAGCAGAGCCCCAGTGTGAATCAGGAGCTGCTGTGGAAGGGAAGGGTGGAGGAAGGACATTGCCAGCATTATTTCTTCACCACCAGGAGGAGCATGTACTTTATCCACCCAGATGGGAGAACGTGGTGCACATTGTCAGGGATGAAACTGTGAGATCATATGCTTTGTTGTGGTGAGCACAACAGAAGGCTCATGGGAAGTCCTCTTTAACTGCCACCTGACTCTTCCTGCCACACACTATCATCCACAAGGGCAGAAAGGCATCCCTTTAAACTGTGTCTTCAACACTCCAGATGGTCTGTGAAGGAGATTATGAGAATGTGAATGAAGAAGAGGATGATTTTTTGTTAGGGATTCTGAATGCCAGGTGCTAAGCTATTTACTACTTGTAGATTGTTTGAATTCACGTGCAAAGTCTTCCCATGGCATAAGTATCACCCAATTTTATTTTAGAGAACAGAAATGAGCACAGGTGTGCATGTAACTTGGGCTAGGTATTCAGATTGGATAGCTGCAGCCATGTTTGAAATGCTGTGTGTATTTGAGGCATATGCCATTTGTGCAACCCACTGTTGACAGGTTTTCCACTCCACAAAACAATCACATGTTTCAGTTTCCTGTCACTCCAGGATGGGACCAGTTTTCTTGTGCACTTCCTTTGGGATTTCTGGTAGATTCCAGGAAAAAGCAGTCAGGGCATCAGTTGCATCATTTCTGCAAGAATGGCTGAGACAAGACAAAGGTCCAGGGGGAACATCCCCCTGTATCCCCAACTCCAGGTCACACCTGCAGCTGTTACATCCACCTGTATATTATAATTAACCCTCTCCATCAAATAGGAGCAAAGTAGGTCTGGATTTCATTACTACTCAGGGACTTTAAAGGGTTAGGAATGTACCAGAGATGCTTCTCTAACTAAGACCTCTTTATTCTGCTGAAAACTTTCTGACTGTTGCAAAACACTGAAAAAGATGAGTGCATCAGACCCAGAGGCTCACAATTTCATTTTGGCTTCTGTTGGTGGACACAGGTGCTAGTGTCTATGATAATCAGTAATGTCCTCCATGTTGATTTCTAGTTGATACAACATCATTGAACTCAGATTAAACAGAAATTGTTTCTTCCTGTGTGATTGATATGTGATGAAGTTATAATATATGAGCAAAAGAAAATTAGTTATCACAAATATGGAAATATCAATCTGTATTATTCAAATGAATTATCCTGTGACCTGTTACTATTTTCTTATTTTTGTAATGGTACAGCCTCTTATTCCCTTTCATATGTATATGCTGTATGTTGGTTGAAAAATGATCTCTCCATCATTACTGATTTCCCAGAGCCTCTACCGTGTTAGGCACAGAGAGTTGAAAATGAAAACTATGTTGTTAAACATCGAATAGACCATTGCTACATTCACAGGTCCTGGCCATGCTCAAGCAGGGTTTCTACACAGTGGTGCTCTCCTGTCTGTACCTTCAATCTACTAAAAAATGTTCTAAGAGCAGAAGATGATATTGAGCAGCTCTGGTTTGTGTCTGTGTCATGGACACAGAAGCCCCAGCTTTCTCTCAACAGAATCTGCAGCATTCAATTACTCAACATCAATGGCAGAGACGTTCATGAACCTAGGAAACATGAAGCAGGAACAGAGGGAATTGAAAGACCCTTACAGCTTGGTCTGAGACACACTTCAGAGTTTGACATCATTCCAATGTTGCAGAGTCCTTTGACAATCCTTCTGGGTAGTAGACCCACTGATTTCTAAGAACTTAATCTTTAATTACAAAAAACCTTAATAACCAAATAAATGTCATTCAAGTATATACTTTTTATGGTTCAATCTAATTTTTCTTATGTATATTATAACCTAATAAATATGAAACTTAAAAAACAGAGAAGTGGGCTGGGGATGTGGATCAAGTGGTAACATGCTTTCCTGGCATGCACAGAATGCTGGGTTCAATCCTCAGCACCACATGAAATAAAATAAAGATGTCATGTCCACTGAAAACTGAAAAATAAATATTAAATATCTTTCTCTCTCTCTCTCTCTCTCAAAAAAAAAAAAAGAAAGAAAACAGAGAAGTGGTTCCATTCCAAGTTTTCTAAGAAATCTCCATTCTACTTTCCAGAGTGATGACACTAATTTGCAGTCCCAATGTTCGAGTGAGCCTTTCCCCCCAACATCCTCTATTTGTAGATTGTTTGAATTCACGTGCAAAGTCTTCCCATGGCATATGTATGAAACAATTTTATTTTAGAGAACAGTAATAAACACAGGTGTTCATGTAAATTGGGCTAGGTATTCAGATGAAATAACTGAAGCCATATTTGAAACGCTGTGTGGATTTGAGGCAGTGCCTCTTAATAATTGCCCTTCTGACCAGAGTGAGATGAAATCTTAGAGTACTTTTGATTTACACTTCTCTAAATGCTAGAAATGTTGAAAATTTTTTCATATATTTGTTGATCAATTGTATATCTTCTGTGAAGTGTCTGTTCAGTTCCTTAGTCCATTTACTGATTTTTTTTTTGGTATTAAGTTTTTGGTGTGGAACCTCCATTTGACCCAGCTGTGCCACTCCTTGGTCTATACCCAAAGGACCTGAAATCAGCATACTACAGAGACACAGCCACATCAATGTTTATAGCAGCTGAATTCACAATAGCTAAACTATGGAACCAACCTAGATGCCCTTCAACAGATGAATGGATAAAGAAAATGTGGTATATACACAATGAAATATTATTCAGCCTAATGAGGAGATAGAGAATATCACATGAAGTGAAATAATCCAATCTCAAAAAAATCAAAGACCAAATGCTTTCTCTGATATGCAGAAGCTAATTCATAGTAAGTGGTGAGTAGGAAAAAATGGAGGAACTTTGGACTGGGCATAGGGGAGTAAGGGAGGAGGGTGGGAATGATGGAGGAATGAGATGGACATTATTACCCTATGTGAATGTATGATTGCATGAGTTGTGTGATTCTGCATCATGTAAAGCTAGAGAAATGAGAAGTTGTGTTCCATTTGTGTACAATGAATTAATTGAAATGCATTCTGCTTTCATGTATTACCAGTTAGAACAAATTAAAAAAAAGAAAAAAATGGAAGTGTTTAAAAAACATAAAATGAAAGAAGTAATTAATTATGCAAGGTTTTTACTAATTACAACTAGGGTCCAAAGCTTAAGTGGACCTTCATTTTCTCTTCTTCATCTTTCTGCATTAATGTTGGGAAGTCCTTAGAGATGGGCATTGCATGGACCAAATAGCCTAATTATGAGCTCTGTGCATAGAGCCTTAAAAGGTCTTATATTAATCCACAGTCAGCCTGTGCCTGCAGCCCTTTCATTGATAGTTCTTGTCCAGTGAGCTGCATGGCTGTGTCTCCTGCTATGGTTCTGCATCAGGAAGCTCCCAGCTGACAGCATATTCCTGGGAATGCTGGGCACAGAGTCTGAGCCTTTGTTGGGCACCAGGTATGGGTGGGTCTTGGCATGTGCAGCCCTTATCATTACCCAGCAGAGAAACAGCATAACCCTGTAAGTGCACTGGGAGCCTTGAAATTGCAAGAATTCCTTCCGTATCAGAAGAACAATCATCAAAGCTGGAATTCCCAGATGGGGGGATTTCAGGAGGTCAAGTTTCATGTATGGTATTTGTGATTTCTTTTTAAATACTGTTGCTTGGCTCTCATATATCTTATTTAAAATGTACTCTCCACCCATGATGTTTTTATTTCCTATAAAAAGCTCAACTTACACAGCAAATTGGTCCTTCAACTACATTTCCTAAGCTGTAGGAAAGACCTGTGGTGGTCTTGATAAGGATGATGAGGGGATGACAGAAGCCAGAGCATCATGAACTGTCACTCAGGGTTTCCAGGCTCAGGAACTGGGGAACAGATTTTGTGTTATCTGTCTCATTTTTTTGTGTGTCCTACTCTGATTATGCATGCCTCATTTATTATTCTTTTACAGTAAAAAAAGAACTTTATAATTATGCAACTTGTTCTTGTTTGCTAGGAGAGAGTAGCCAGGTTGCATTGGGCTCTCTGACGATGGACATAGGGCATCATGGGAGAATCCTGGCAGGCTATTCCATCAGCAAGCCCACTAGCCATTCCTTGTCCCTGTCCTGAAGAAAGAGAGCCTTGCCCATGGTGCTCTTCCTGTGGGATTCCTGGGGAATCACAGGGCAGAGCAATGGGGGCGCTTGCTGAATACACTATGGAGGAACATGCACAAGTCACAGGAAAGGTCAGAGTAGAGGAGGCTCATGATCATTCAGCATAAATCATGCTCCTGGCCTCCCTCCATAGCCTCCTTGAGCTCACCACATGCTCTTCCACGCATGAAAACAGTCCTCTTAATCTCAGAGGAAACCTAATGTTAGGTCTCCATTTCATTCCCACTCAAAAAAACTGGAAAGTGTTATAAAATGTACCTGAGATTTACCAGTGGTTAAGATCTGTGGATGTAGGCTGAAAACTGTTAAGTGGGAAAGTTAAAAAAAAAATTTGATCGATCCATTTTAGAGTCTGTCATTCCCAATCTCTATATCTGTATGGTAGTCCCTAATTTCATGGGGGTCTAGAGTCAGCTTTGCCATCTGAGCTGATTTCCCACTGATGCAACTGCAATGAGTAAAGATAAATAGATACTTGATGCTATTCTCTGTATAATATGAAATATGTGAATAAAATCTGGGCAAAAAAATTTTGGATATCATTGTTACTGTTAGCATGACTAGGTTGATCTTCATACCACTCAACTAATGCATTCAGTGGTCTGAAGTGACCGTTCCTATTTCTGGATGGGACACTTTACTTTTGCCCTTACAGATACATGTGCTGTGCATTTTAGAACTGTTTCCTTTTTCCTATTTCTTACACTCCAGGTC